CAAAAAAAAAACAAAAAACAAACATCAAGGTGTATATTTTTAATTAAGCTCATCCCACATTAAAATGTTCTATTTGAGCATTAACTGACAACAAAGTGTATATCCTCATCAAGTGCTGCAGAAAGTTGAATATTGGAGAGTAAATTTACTAGGAATTAGTTTTGAAAATTTTAACAAATCTTGATAATGAATGGAATAAATAAATTTTATTCTATCAAAATAATTTACACGTAGAAAACAGACACACTCTAGAATAAAATGATGTTTTTCATTACAAGATTGAGTCCAACTGATGTAACGAAAGAAAAAAACAAAAACATGATCTTTCATGTGTCTACTTTTGATACACAATAATATAAATGTTGTCTCTTTACATTTAAATAGATTTGGCTGGCTTGTTATCACTTATGTCCATTTATATGTCATGTAAGTAAAATTCGATCCAATTGTATATTAAATCCTTTGTTCAAAACTAGGGTTTGTGGAGAAGCATAACAAGGAGGCCGCGGGGGGAAGCAGGTGGGAGATGGTGGGGCCCGGTGAGCGAAATCCGAGAATGAAGAAGAATATGAATAATGATAAGAGACGAGCGAGCCCCATGGCCGCGGATGGTCATCATGACAACGAGAGTGAGGCAACCGGAGATGATGATAATTATGACGAGATTAATGGTGGCGCCGAGCAACGACAGAGAGAGCACCCCTTCATAGTAACCGAGCCTGGTGAGGTGGCTCGTGGAAAAAAGAACGGCCTCGATTATCTCTTCTATCTCTACGAGCTTTGCCGTGACCTCTTGATCCAAGTTCAAAATATTGCTAGAGAGAAAGGTGAAAAATGCCCTACCAAGGTTAGTACTTACTTACTTACCCTTTATTATTCTTATTATTATATTGTGAAAAATGCTACAGACCCGTAACAAACCATTCCTCTATATAAAACTTCAATAAGAAACTGGCGCATCACGTTTACTTGAAATTGACTAAATCTAAGAGTCTACATCGATCAACTTAAAGATTTTCATAATTTTTATCAAGTTGAGAAAACGTTTCCCACAAAAAATGTAGTCTTTCCCTATTATTATTATTACAAATAATTGTTATGCTTGTGTCATTGTCGTATTGTAATGTAGGAAAAAAGGTGCTTATAAGTTGTAATTACTTTTTTTGATAAATAATTGTCCTGAATTTACCTTAAAGAGCACCTTACATTGGTAATGATAACGTGAAAAAAGTAGGGCAGTGTGTGTGACGTTGACCGTGTTCCGTACGTATGGGCCTTAATTGGGCTCAGAAGGCCTCGTAAGTTGGGCCAGATTCCGATATGTGCTGTCTCCAGGAGCGCTTGACAACTCGAGTACGGATTTCTGGGCTACTCTGGAAAGTGGCCCAAAAGAAAAAGAATCTAGCAAATCATTTAGCTAGTGACACCTGTTTCTGCAATCTACATTGGAAGTTCAACACTTTTGTTCCTAAAAAGCAATAATTACGTCAACCTTCTTTGATAGTTTAATTATGTTTATATAATTCGTCGGCTTCAAATATGAAGCTTTCGTTATAACTCATAAATGCTAAAGTTCAAATCAAGTCGAGTCCAGTAGCCATGTGACTTTTAACTTTTAACTCCCACCCACTAATTTATAACAACATATATAACTCAGGGAAATTTATATATAAAAAATAATAAAAAAACAAGTGGACAAAGAAATACGTGCTTTTGATTTTGGTTCAGAACTTTTTTTTTTGTTTTTTTTTTTNTTTTTTGGGTAAAAAAATCTATATAACTCCCTTTGAAATAGACTAGTAAAATGCAACTATATTTTTATTATTCATTTATATCTGATCAAGTCCCTAGTTTAGGAGTCTTATTCTTCATTGTCCGTTGAAAACATAATACGACACACATGTTATTAATTATTTTAATAAATAACTATATTTTTGTTATTTTATCATAAATTTATAGTTGTTTTGGTTCTATTAAAAGGATTTTGATTATTTCCTAGTATTATATTAATTTTAATTCAATATGCATGAATATTATTTTTGTACATCTAAATTATTATATACATTATTATGAAAGAAAGGGAAAAGTTGGACTTGGATCAGTATATTTTCAAGCCACATTCGTTAGTTATATAATACTTAATTAGAGTCCTTGTGTTTTAATATCAAGCTAATTATAATACATATATAGTCCTTTTTGTGTTTTATTTTATTTTGATAGATTAGACTCTTTTTTCTATTAAAATACCTAATTACAATTACAATTTTGCCATTCAAAAATTGTTATACATATATAGGGACGTTTTTATGTGTTCATTTTTTTTTTTTTAACAAAATCACTCCTCTTTTTATAATAGTATAAATAAATAAATAAACGTATATATAGTTGAGACGCAATATCAACATAGCTATATATGGTTGATGGATGGACATACATAATATAATATAATATAATATAATGTGTTGTTATTTCACAAATGATAGGTGACGAACGAGGTGTTTAGGTACGCGAAATCAGTGGGTGCGAATCACATCAACAAGCCAAAAATGCGACACTACGTGCACTGCTACGCACTGCACTGCCTTGATCAGGCGACCTCTGACAATCTGCGCAGAGCATTCAAAGAGAGGAGAGAGAATGTGGGGGCTTGGCGGCAGGCTTGCTACATGCCCCTTGTGGCGATAGCTGCCGCCAGGCATGGATGGGACATTGACGCCCTCTTTAACACTCACTCACACCTCTCCATTTGGTACGTCCCTACTAAGCTCCGTCAGCTCTGCCATGCCGAGAGAAGCAATGCCGCCTCAACCTCTGGAGACAACTTGCCGCCCTTCTAGAGACCTATCGACTTTGGTGAAATTTGTTTTCATTCAACTTGTGTTATGTTTCGGTTTGATGTTTGTTACGCTTAACTTTTATGGTAATTGGGTAGAAGTACTTACTATTGTTGTGAGTTTTGATGATGATTATGTTCCGGTTTGGTGTTTGTTACGTTAACTTTTTCTAGTTAATGAGCGAAGTTACTTCCTATGGTTGTGAGTTTTGGTTATATTCTTATATTCAAGTTTGATCTTTGTTACGATTAACTTCTATGGTTTCTTGGCGAAATTAGTCGCAATCGTGAATGCATTGCTAATGAAATGATGCCAACTTTTGATGCAGTGCTTGAGCTTCATTCATGATCATAGCAAAATCAATTTATTCATACTTGCATATCAATTTTAGCAAAGTCAATTTTTAGGTATCTAAACCAAACCCAAATTCGCTCTTGCATTTTTAATCT